AGGACCGAGCCCTGCGGGACCCCACTGCCCACACCCTTCCGGGTCGATACCGACCCGTCCACCACGACTCTCTGGGTGCGACCCTCCAGCCAATTTGCCACCCACCGGACTGTGTAGTGATCCAAGTCACAGCCTCTTAACTTGTTCACCAGTATGGGGTGGGATACCGTATCGAAGGCCTTCCTGAAGTCTAAGTATACGACATCCACCCCTCCTCCTGTGTCCAGGCATTTCGTAACCTGGTCATAAAAAGAGACTAGATTGGTCAGGCACGATCTGCCTGCCACGAACCCGTGCTGGTTTCCCCTCAGCATCATTTGTCCTGCCGGGCTCTTGCAAATGTGAGCCTTGATAATTTTTTCAAAGACTTTGCCTAGGATGGAGGTGAGACTGACTGGCCTATAGTCGCCTGGGTCCTCCTTCCTCCCCTTCTTGAAAATCTAGTTCTTCCCCTTGGTGTGGGGGTCTGTAGCAGACCCCTACCACCAAATCCTTTTCTCCTTGACCTCCATGTAACCTAACCCACAAGCCTTCTACTTTCTCCTCCTCCGATTCCGTCTTGATGAGGGTTGATGTATATCGCTCATTGACATAGAGCGCCCCCCCTCCCCCTCTCTTTCCCACTATCCTTTCTGTACAGCTTATAACCCTCAATGTGTACCGCCCAGTCGTGGGAAGGATCCCACCAGGTTTCTGTTAGCCCTACTAAGTCGTAGGTGTTTTCTGCAAGCAGGAGCGCTAGTTCATCCTGCTTGTTCCCCATGCTCCTAGCGTTAGTGTATAGGCACTTGAGCCCTGTGACTGGCGCCTTTGTTGCCCCCCGGCTCTGATGCCCAAAGGGCCCCTTATTGCTTACCTGCTTATTGCTTACCTTATTTTTCTGTGATACAGCATGGACCTAGATGGTTATTTGTACAACTAATCTGATTTGCTTTTTCCCTTTTCCCAGCAATACGTTATATTGCACGACATGGTGGCAGCTCACAGCATTGTCAGAGTGTCGGTCAGCCGAGCAAATCAAGGTAAGCTGCGCTGGCAGCCTTTGCTTGAAAGGATGAACCTGCAGCTGTTCCTTGTGGGTCGGTGCAGATCTGTGCTTGGGTCCGTCTGGTTAAAGGAACTGCTTGCCTTCACTTCTTAAGTGCTGCTTTGCTCATCAGCTGCTTATTCATTGTTTGGGATGAGAGAGAGGTGTGAAGCTAAAACAGAGAATATCATAGCACTCCTAGAGCAGTAGGGCTGGTAGGGAGCTCCACAGGTCACATCTAGTCCGATCCCTGCCTGAGGCAGGATCAGCCCTTTCCAAACCATGCCATAAAGTAAAACAACCAACCTGAAGGTATCCTTCCAGATTACCTCAGCCATTGTCGGATGTAACCCAGACTAGGTGACCCTGAGTTGCCCCTTTCCTCATATGCAGCTACCATTGCAGTATCTCATTCCTGGCCCCCAGGTCACAAATAAGTGTCTCCCGGTGGGGCTCCCATTAGTAACTTAGAGTGACTGGCAGCAGGGGCTGTGGTGTGCCCATCCTTGGCAGCCCTGTCCCTACTAATGTGAGCTCTGCTGTCCTGGAGAGCAAAAGCTCTGGGCTGCTGTAGGGTCATTCTTGTTTCCAAGGCATCCGCCTGTGTACAATCAGCGGTCCTGTTTAAAGCCATCAGTTTCTTTTAAGAAAGGAGTCAAGCGCTCTTCCCCTTCTCTTACAGCTGTTTAGCTGTGACAAGTTAAATCCAGCTGCACGTTTGGAGGCGAAACATACAGTGGAGTGGGGCACTATCCATTACTTTGCTTTCTAGGGTTTTTTTCTTGTTTAAAGCCATACCATTAATAATAGAAACAGCAGCATAATGGTCATAGCCTGGCTGCGATCATGGGTGTTGCATTTTATATGGGATTCTGGGAGGGGTGCTGATTTGTGACTTTGTCGTTACATTGGAAAGTTTAAGACTAATCCTCTATATGTCTAACATTCAGAAAGAGAAGAGATCCTTTCCACTGACCTTGTGCCTGGAGATATCATGTTGATTCCATCGAACGGGACAATCATGCCCTGTGATGCAGTACTTGTCAGTGGTACTTGCATTGTAAATGAAAGCTTGCTAACAGGTAAAGTGATGCTGACATTTTGGGTCGCTACACTGTGTGGCTGAAAGGTTGGCTGGTAAGGCGTGCTGTGCTCAGAGCCAACACACTGGCCTAACCATGACAGAAGGGTTGCCTTGCAGGAGCTCAGAAGTAGGGGGCTGGAAATCAGGACTGCGGTGTGTGAGGCCTAGCAGGGCAGGGCAGCAAGCCACTGGGATTGAGGACTCTTGGGTCATAGTCCCATCTTTGTCGGTCCTGGGTGAACGGCTGCTGCCGTGTCCACACAAGGGGGGCACTGCCACTGTGCAAACTGCTTTGAGAGCTGTGGATGGGAAGTGCTTATGTGTGTTGGATTTCCATAAACTGAAGAGACTCTTTATTTAAGGTGAAAGTGTTCCTGTAACAAAAACTAGCCTACCAAACCCCGCAGAAGATCCAAAAGCAACAGGGGATGAAGTGTACAGTCCAGAAACCCACAAGCGACATACCTTGTTCTGTGGAACCACCGTCATTCAAACGCGGTTTTACAGCGGAGAACTAGTCAAGGCTGCAGTCGTGAGAACAGGTACGGGTTTGTTTTTTGCTCATTTACGTACCGCACGCTCACAGTAATACCTGCTGCTGTCTGAACGTTGTGGTTTAACTGGCCTGGGTTGAACGCCCGCTCCCTGAAGAATGGAATAACAGGATTCCTAGGTATCACTGTAATAGGTGTTTTGGTAATGGACAGTTTGTCGGCAAGGAATTAATGAAACCTTAGCATCAAGGGACTTTGAAACATGTTCTGGTTGGGACAGACTTTGTGTCTGATGGGGCTTGCTGATGAACATCAGCAACAGCATGATTGGTCCTACACTGAGTGACTCAACTCGATGTCCGCTGCACTTTGAGGCTTTGACCTTCTCGTTTTTCCCTTGCGGCTCAGAACTATGGACACTGCACAAGAGACAGACCGGAGAGAGCAGCAGTGATGCTGTTTGTGTCTTTCTGCTGACACAGGCGGTGGCTTTCAGGCAGGATTAGCTAGCATTGCTATTCCTGATGCCTCCGTCTCAGAGGGGACTGCAGTTGCATAAACCATGCTTCCATTTGTGCCCAGGCGACTTTCAAGTGAATCCTTAGATAAAGCTGTTTCTGTTTGAATGCATCTTAAAAAGAAATCAAAAGAACTTGCTCTGCTGGGTTATGCATAGTTCATAATTAATTTAACTCCATGTTAAACCAGGTGAAGCACAGCCTTAGTTCCAGGGGTGCTGTGTATAACTGTGTGCAAGCAGCACATCATGGCTCTTGTGTATAAAGTTACCAGGATGCTGCAGGAAAGTCGATTTGTGCAAATACCAGCATTAGGCGCTTCCTCAGCGCACCAGCCCTTCCGACTCCGTGTCGTGCTCCATGACCACATGGAGCTTCGTTTGCCTCTAGCAGAGCTGTGCAAGTCAAATCCTCGCAAGAAGGTGGATTGTGCTTTCTGGTAAAGCAGGCTTCCCAAGAGCTAGTATCGCCCCTCAGACCTTCAGAGTTGGGAACTTTCTTGGATTCAAATCAATATTGTGCTTTTAGTTGAAATGGGTGAATTCAGTCCCTGTCACAGCACTCATTCAAAAAGTAAATGCAAGAAATATTCTTCCTTCTGCTAAGCAGGAAAGTTCAGCGTCTAGGGCCAGTGACAGTGATGGGCTCCAGAGGTCACATCTTCTCTGTTGAGATTAGCTAGGCAGCCACGTGGCCGTCGATTCATAACCTCACCAGATTCTGTGTGTTGCCCAGCAAGCCTTACCTGTTGCCACTGTTTGCCCACGATTCTTTGCCACTTCTTGCTCTGGTGCCCAGTGGAGGATGAGGAAGATAACAGTACAGCTCAGGTTTTAAATATCTGTAGTTAAAGAGTGAGCCTGTCTGCCTGTCCTCTCCCGGGCACACGGCTTTGAAAACTCCATTGTAGCAGACCCACATGGCCATAGCATGGTGAAGAACAGGATCGCTTCTCTGTGCTGTCGTATCACCGCTCTCTGCAAGTCCATTCGTAGCATCTGGCGAAGTAGGTTGAAGCCTACGAAAGCTTGTGCCTTTCTGATTGCTAACAGGGTAGTCTTCAAGGTGCCACCCTGCCCCGTCTTCCGTGTGGTCCTTCCTTTGACTAACAGTGTCCACAGGTGTAGCCTGCTCTGGAGGGAGCCGATCCAGAGCAGAGATGGGAACCGAGTCCCAAAGATGGAGGTTTGTTTTGTTCAGGGGAATCTCCATGCTCTCTGGTAGCCCGCCGCTCAGAGACGGCTTCTCTGAGGTGTGGTCGGCGGGGCCCCTCCAGCCCCAGTCTTCAGAAGCCCATGTTTGAATTGCGGCGGGGTGCAGGGAGGGCTGCAGCCACTAAGGCCTTGTATGGAGCCCAAAGCATCAGCCCCAGAAACGGGGCACCCTGGTGACTTCACGTGAGGTGCATGTGCACCCCCAGCGGGATCTGCACAGACCACCTTATGTTGAAGAGCCAGCTGAGCACGGGGGTGCGTGGTGGTTCTCTCAGAACTAGCGTAGGCTTTCTCAGCAGTGTGGCTGTACTGCATGACATTGCTGCTGCTTGCACGCCCGGTGTCACTGCACTCCCTTTCATTGTAGGCTTTAGTACTTCCAAAGGACAGCTTATTCGTTCCATCCTGTATCCAAAGCCAACTGACTTCAAACTCTACAAAGATGCCTACATGTTTCTGTTGTCCCTCGTGGTGGTGGCAGGCATTGGCTTTATCTACACAGTGGTCAACAGCATCTTAAATGAGGTATGAGTTTAATTTTCCCTTCATCTGCTGCCCTTTTGTTTTAACCCTAGTGACTGATCAGTATTTATAACGAAACTGAGTTAGTGCTAAACAGTGTTCTGCAATTATTGTCTGATTTTAAATGAAGCTTTCCTGGCTTTGTTTGCTTTTTCACAAATACTGTTGCAAACACGTTTATTGACAAGGCAGACAAGGTTCCTTGGGTGAATTTGATATCTTTTATTAGACCAACCCAAATGGTTGGAGAATAGTTATTAAGCAAGCTTTTGGGTTCAAAAACCCTTCGTCAGGCTCAGGAAGCTGCAGCAGTTGGTGTGTGCTCTTCCTGGATGGAATGAACAAGAGCATTCAGCGAAACAGTCCTGTTTAAGGGAATATTGGCAGGGAGCGGACTTGGATTGTGTGCTTGTAAGCATCTGTAACAGAAAAGTGATGCTTGGGGTTATTCTGACTCAGACAAGAACTAGAACAACTTGGATATGGATTATTCAAAATGCATTGCATAGAAATTGGTCTGTATTGACACCTGTTCATCAAAACAATCTTGAGACACGAAGATATTGAGTCTGCAGGTGCATGTATTCATATTTTAATTTTTAACAACTGCATTGGAAAAGAGTAAGAGACTTGAAGGTTAAAAGGGTAATGGTCTTAGAGCCCGACTGCTAGACTTGTCTCATGTGAAGGGAACGTGCCAGCTTTGCTTGCTTCTTGAGCACTGCTGGAGCTACCTCCAATGTCACTTCTGCCAGTCGTGGTACAGCAGTTAATAAAGTTGATTTACTAGAGAGATGCCGGTGAAGCTTTTAAGCACTTGGTTTTTACTCACTTAATAGCATGATTTTTTTTTTTTTAGGTTGAAGTTCATATAATAATAATCGAGTCTCTTGACATTATCACCATCACTGTTCCTCCTGCACTTCCAGCTGCAATGACTGCTGGCATCGTTTATGCACAGAGACGCCTGAAAAAAATTGGCATTTTCTGCATCAGTCCTCAGAGGATAAATATCTGCGGACAGTTGAATCTTGTGTGTTTTGACAAGGTTGAGTACATTTTATTGATTTACGTTTGGTGTTAAATGGCTGGGAAGTGTTGTGTTGTATTGGAAATAGGTACCTAGGTAGTGGGTCACGTGGGGCTTTATCAAAAGCCTTGCTGAAGTCCAGATACACGACAGCCACAGCATTCCCTTCACCACCCAAGTAGTTACTTTGTCAAAGGAGATGGAGTTTGTTTGACATGATTTATTCTTAGTAAATACATGCTGGCTGCTTGTGATCAGCCTTTCCTCTTCCTCCAGGTGCTTGCAAATGGACTTCCTTAGGATGTGCTCATGTAACTCCAGCACTGCACTCACCCTTTTTGCAGTCCTCTGGTACCTTGCCCATCTCCCACAACTTTGTAAATATTGTTGCCAACGGCATCCAAGATCTCCTCTGCTAGTTCCTTTGGTACCTTGGGGTACCAGCAGGGTCTGTCAGGCCCTGCTGTCTTGAATTCATTCAGACCCATCAAAAGCTCTCGGATCTGTTTCTTGTATCTCATCCTCAGCTTGTTCCCTTCCTTACCCAGATAATCTTTATCAGGTACCTGGTTGCAACATATTTTTTTGGGAAGACTGAAGCAAAGGTCCTGTTGAGTAGCTTCACCTTGTTTGCATCTTCTATTAAGAGTTCCCTTGGCTCGTTGATAGAGGATCCAGTTTCCTTGGTCCTTCTTTTCTGGCCAGCATACTCAGCCTCTTCTTGTCGTCTTCAACCTCCCTCGCCAGGTGCAGCGCATTTTTTGTCTTTGCCTTCCTGATGTTGTCCCTGCAGGTTCTTGCTGTTTCCTCGTACACGTCCTTGGTGACCTGCCCATCCTTCCACTGCCTCGATGCTTTCCTTTGGCATCTGAGGCATCTTAGTGCTGCCACATTGGTCTCTTGCCATTCTTGTGCTTCCAGCGTGTCAGAACAGTTTTTTGTTGGGCTTCCAATATTGTGCCCTTTAGACGCTCCCAACCCTCCTGGCCACTTTTGTCCTTCAGTCTGTCTTCCCACGGCACCATGCCTAATAACTCCTTGAGTCCGGTGAAACTTGCCTTTTGAAACCTAGCGTTTTAGTTCCACTGACCTTATGCTTTCTCCATCTCGGGATCATGAATTCTGTTGTAATCTGATGGTTTCCTCCCAAGTTGCCCATCACCTCCATATCTTCCGCCAGTTTTTCCCTGCTGGTCAGGACAAGATTCAAAGTAGACGATCCCCTGGTTGGATCCTCAACCGTCTGGAACAAAGATGCCCTCCATGGAAGTTAGACATCGACTCAACGTTTTAGATATTGTTCTTCCAGGGGATATCTGGAAAATTGAGGTCTCCCATCAGTACCATCTCATAACTTTTGAATAATTTTGTTACCTCCTAGAAGAGTTCCTCATCCACCTCCTCTTTCTGACTTGGCTTATAACAAAGCCCACCATTATATCAATGCTGTATCGTCTACCTTTCATCTTCACCCAGGTGCATTCTCATCTGCTGTCTTCTTCCTCCTGAAGCAGGGAGCAAGTGAATGTGTTTTTGACCTGCAAGGCAACACCACTACCTTTTCTCCCAACCCTGTAGCCCTCAGTGTTGATCTTCCAGTCATGAGAGCTGTCCCACCAGGTCTCTGTGATACCAGTTGGATCATCCTTCTTTTTAGAGGCTGTGACTTCCAGCTCATCCGTACTTCTCATACTTGTGTACATGCATCGGACATATTTTACATTCTGACGTAGTTACTACACTTCTGCATAACGCGTCGCTGTCCTGTGGCTCTCTGGCCATTGCTGTCACATACCAAGGCATAGGCAGCCTGGCTGGTAGTTTGCATGAGTCACTAGCTGAGGGTAGCCGGGTCAGAGTCTGGCCCGGGGCTGACACGCTAGACAGAGCAAGGGCAGGCCGTCTCCCACAACTTTGTAAATATTGTTGCCAACGGCATCCAAGATCTCCTCTGCTAGTTCCTTTGGTACCTTGGGGTACCAGCAGGGTCTGTCAGGCCCTGCTGTCTTGAATTCATTCAGACCCATCAAAAGCTCTCGGATCTGTTTCTTGTATCTCATCCTCAGCTTGTTCCCTTCCTTACCCAGATAATCTTTATCAGGTACCTGGTTGCAACATATTTTTTTGGGAAGACTGAAGCAAAGGTCCTGTTGAGTAGCTTCACCTTGTTTGCATCTTCTATTAAGAGTTCCCTTGGCTCGTTGATAGAGGATCCAGTTTCCTTGGTCCTTCTTTTCTGGCCAGCATACTCAGCCTCTTCTTGTCGTCTTCAACCTCCCTCGCCAGGTGCAGCGCATTTTTTGTCTTTGCCTTCCTGATGTTGTCCCTGCAGGTTCTTGCTGTTTCCTCGTACACGTCCTTGGTGACCTGCCCATCCTTCCACTGCCTCGATGCTTTCCTTTGGCATCTGAGGCATCTTAGTGCTGCCACATTGGTCTCTTGCCATTCTTGTGCTTCCAGCGTGTCAGAACAGTTTTTTGTTGGGCTTCCAATATTGTGCCCTTTAGACGCTCCCAACCCTCCTGGCCACTTTTGTCCTTCAGTCTGTCTTCCCACGGCACCATGCCTAATAACTCCTTGAGTCCGGTGAAACTTGCCTTTTGAAACCTAGCGTTTTAGTTCCACTGACCTTATGCTTTCTCCATCTCGGGATCATGAATTCTGTTGTAATCTGATGGTTTCCTCCCAAGTTGCCCATCACCTCCATATCTTCCGCCAGTTTTTCCCTGCTGGTCAGGACAAGATTCAAAGTAGACGATCCCCTGGTTGGATCCTCAACCGTCTGGAACAAAGATGCCCTCCATGGAAGTTAGACATCGACTCAACGTTTTAGATATTGTTCTTCCAGGGGATATCTGGAAAATTGAGGTCTCCCATCAGTACCATCTCATAACTTTTGAATAATTTTGTTACCTCCTAGAAGAGTTCCTCATCCACCTCCTCTTTCTGACTTGGCTTATAACAAAGCCCACCATTATATCAATGCTGTATCGTCTACCTTTCATCTTCACCCAGGTGCATTCTCATCTGCTGTCTTCTTCCTCCTGAAGCAGGGAGCAAGTGAATGTGTTTTTGACCTGCAAGGCAACACCACTACCTTTTCTCCCAACCCTGTAGCCCTCAGTGTTGATCTTCCAGTCATGAGAGCTGTCCCACCAGGTCTCTGTGATACCAGTTGGATCATCCTTCTTTTTAGAGGCTGTGACTTCCAGCTCATCCGTACTTCTCATACTTGTGTACATGCATCGGACATATTTTACATTCTGACGTAGTTACTACACTTCTGCATAACGCGTCGCTGTCCTGTGGCTCTCTGGCCATTGCTGTCACATACCAAGGCATAGGCAGCCTGGCTGGTAGTTTGCATGAGTCACTAGCTGAGGGTAGCCGGGTCAGAGTCTGGCCCGGGGCTGACACGCTAGACAGAGCAAGGGCAGGCCGCAAGCTGGGTCAGATACCTGTGAGGACTGAGTTCCAGCAATCCCAGCCCCAAGGCCAAGGTCAAAGTCTGAGTGGGGTCAGCGAGGGCGGTCAGATCCAGAGTCGGGGTGCACAGGCAAGGAAAAGCAGAGCGGTCCAAGGATAGCAGGAGCCTTGTTGTCCAGACAGCATCCGCAGGAAACAGGCGGCCGTAGGCGGGAGGATCCAAGCAGGGGCCGGCGGTAGATGGAGCCCTGTCCTGGCCACTCGGTTCTCCCTTGTGAGCCGTGGCCTGCGGGAGGGCTGAACTGGTTCTTGTTCCCTGAGCGCCAGGGTCAGGGGTTTGGGACTTAGTCCTAACAATTTCCCAGAGTTGAGCTTCTTCCAGTCCTTTGCCCTGGTTTGTTTGCTCTGTTGTTGGTGGGTTTTGTTCAGGCTCACTTAATTTTATTTCCCAAGAAAAGCCAAATCAATGTGCTTAAGATGCGCTCTTAATAAAAAAAGAGCAATTTATAAATTGCTTTTTTATACACTTTATAAAACAGGGAGTGGTAGTGTCCACAGACAGTTTAAGGAGTTGCACAGAAATATAAAGGAGGAAAAAGTGTTTCGAGAGTTGGGGAAGAGAGAGCAGAGGAGAGGGAGCGCTGCTCTGTTGTTCTCAGTGAATACATACTGGTAACGGGTTGGTGCCTGTCCTGCCCTGCCTCGCCCCTTCCCTCCATAGCATGAACTGCTGTCCCTTTGCCCTTCTGCCGTCTTGTCACTTCAGAGTTGCACGCAGGAGTTTGAGAAAGTCCCCTCCCCAAAAATATGGATGTTGGAGCTCGCAGAGCTGGAAGGTGAGGGGCCATCTCCGTGCGCTCAGACAGCTGTCACTGCCTTCCTAGCCCCGAGCAGCGACACTGCCACTTGGCTCTGTTCTTGAAAGGAGTGTTTGCCCCGCAAACCCAAATGCAGCAATAAGCAACAAGCGGGGGTGAAGGGTATTGTAAAGGACTGGTAGTAACTGTTACACCTGTATTTTGACTGGAAATTAAGTAAAACAGCTATTCTTTTCCTATCGATTTTTGTGTCGGCAGACTGGTACGCTTACCGAAGACGGCTTGGATCTGTGGGGTATCCAAAGAGTGGAAAATGCTCGGTAAGGACCAAAACGCTACGGTGTGCAGTGTGTGTGAGCGAGGAGTGTCCTGCTGTTTGGTACTTAATCAAATCAAATAGCTCTGTCACAATCTGATTGACATGAAGGCAAGTACATGCCTGGTACTGAAATGGTATGGTGACAAGTGGGTATAAAAACCTATGAATAAAATAGAAATGTTGGATTTGTGAAGCTTTGCAAAAAAGCACCTGTAAAGAGGAACAAATCAACATGTGATTTACAGCCAGCCAGAAATTCAAAGCACTCTTTCTCCCAGCTCTGAAATGTGGCCCAGCCAGACGATGTGGGTGGGAGCACCACGGACTGATGAGCACAGTACAGAAACCAGATAGAAGCAACCTATATGCGTGGCTGGGGCACTTATTTTGGTCCTTTCATCGCTGGCTGCCTAGGCCGTTAGCACGGCTGGGATTCGGGTAACCCGGGTTTGCATTGCTGGGTAGGCGAGCCGCACGGGGCTACATCAGAGCCTGACTATCGGAGTATTTCAAATGAGGTGTTCGTAGAGCCAAAAGGAGCCAGGTCCCCGTTTCCCACAGAACGTGCTAGCCTCGACTCCTACTCCATTTCCTACGTGGTGTGGAAAGGATAAACACCAAGTGACTTGTATAGTCAATTTTTTGCTGCTAATCTAAACAACGGTTTTGAATTAGCTCGTTATCAATGATGATGGCACTAAGCGTATCATAACTCCATTGTTCCAGCTTCCTTTTGCCGGAAGAGAGAGCGTGCAGCGAGGGCTTAGTGAAGTCTCCGTTTGTTGCTTGCATGGCCACTTGTCATTCCCTCACAAAGATTGAAGGAGTGCTGTCTGGGGATCCGCTGGATTTGAAGATGTTTGAAGCCATAGGATGGGTAAGTTCATTGCTTCTTGCAGAGGGAGCATTGTGTCTATGTGCAGCAGTCTGACATGTCACGAAGTGATGTATTATGTAGTGCCTGAGGCTGCACGCTTTAAAATCGATAGCCGGCAGGTAGAGAAGTAGCGTTGTCTGGTAGATGACACAATGCACCTACGGGCCCATGGTCTTTCACATTTTTATTAATGACTTGGATGCACAAATAGAGAGTATACTGATCCAGCGTGCAGAGGACACAAGACTGGGAGGCTAAATTGGAGAACTGGGATGTCGAATGTTCCCTTCAGCTGAAGCAAGTTAAAAGTTCTGTGTTTTGAGGGACATAGCAATGATGAGAATTATCTGGGGTGAACAGTGAAATGAAGTGGCAGTGTGAGACTGTCACGAAAGCAGCAAATGCATTTTGGGTTACTTTAACAGAAACAGATTCAAGACGTCGGAGGTGACAGGATCGCTCTGGCTCTGAGTAGGCCTCAGCTGGAATACTATGTCCAGTTTTGGGCGGTGCATTTTTAGAAAGATGTAGAGAAATGGAAAGGGTGTATAGGTGAGCAGTCAAGAGGATGAAGGTGTTGGAAAGCAATTTGTCTGAGGAAAGGTTGAAGGAACTAGTTTGGTTTAGTTTGGAGAAAAGGAGGAGACCTGATGACAGTTTTCAAATATTTGGAAGTTGCCATAAAGAGGATGGAGAAACACTGTTTTTCTTCGCATGCAGGGCAGGACATGGGTCAGTGGGTCTAAAATACAGCAAAACACATTTTAGATCAGTTTTTAGGAATTTTTCCGGCTGTTAAAGCAGAAGGACAGCAGAACAAAGGGAAGTGGTGAGGTCTCCTCTGGAGGGGTTCAAGAAGAGTCTGGGCAACCAGCAGGGATGGTGCAGGAACAGCACAGCCTGCATTCTTGCAGGCAATTAAACTTGACCTTCAAGGTTGCTGCCAGCCCTGGGGTTCTGTGAAGCTTGCATTCTAAAAAATGTCCGTCTCATAGGAAACGCTTCTTCAAATGGAAAGAGCTTTCAGTATCAGATTTACTTTTTGCTAATTCTGGAAGAGAATATGACCAGTTGCTAAGACACACAGTGCATCCTCTTTTTTTTTTTTTTAAGCTAATGTTTTTGGAGGGAAATCACAGGCATTTTACACCTTTAGGAATCAAAGGTCATTGCCAGGAACACTGACTGCAGGTGCTGTTTCCAATAATGTTGTTGTCTGTCTGATGCAACCTCAGTTACAATTAAGGGCTAATTAGGCGGTGGTTTCATTTTAGATTCTTGAAGAAGCGACTGAAGAGGAAACAGCCCTTCACAATCGAATAATGCCCACTGTGGTTCGACCTCCAAAACAGCTTCTTCCGGAGTCCAAGCCTGCCACAGATCAAGACATGGTACTGCCTTTCAGGACCAATACAAGCCTCTGTTCTTTATGCATTTCTCTCATCAGTGTGTTAGAGGAGTTAAAAACGGATGTGTGCTCCTGTGTATTGTGGTCCTGCATGCCTAATTCTGAGCAGGGTCAGGATCTGTTCATGCTTCAGGGGGAAGACACAAGGCACAGATCAGGGGCTGCAAGAGCTGGTGACTCAGTAGGCGCAGTGTTCCCTCTTAGATGGCCAACTTCACTCGGTGTGGTGGTGCCCTGATCCTCTCTGGTCATTCGTGACATCATGATGCCTTTCCAGATTTGGGGTCTTTGCTTTTGTTGTTGTGGCTGAATTCTAGCTCTGGTAATTGGCTCTCCCTGCCCTTTTTAGTCACCTGGAGTGTTTGCATTAGGGCTGTGTGAAATTTCGATAGCTGTTTCATTTCGGAGGTGTTTCATCCTGTTTTGGCACCTGAAACACCAAGTCCGAAATGAAACGGAAGGCTCCAAAACATCTCTGAAATTAAATGAAACCACCCAAAAAGTTTTGGAAATGTTTCAGATGTTTCAGAGGCGCCGCCCGGGAATCGTCCAACACAGCCCTCCTTTGAAAGTGCCAGGAGGCTGGGGCCAGGCACAGCAGCCACGAGGGCTTCTCCTGCGGCTCCCCCCGCCCGGGGAGAGGCAGGCACAGCCAGAGGAGCCATGGGAGAACCTGCAGCCGCTCGGCTGTGCTTGCCTCTCCCTGGCCGATCCGAATCTCCAAAACAGTATCAAAATTCTGAAACAGATTTGGCCGAATCGAAATGGAACCGTGATCCGAAACACCGAAACGAATCGCTGTCCTCAGAAACGGCCGAATGCGAAACCGAAACAAAACATAGCCGTTTTGCACAGCCTTAGTGTGCATGTCATTTGTCCTTTATCCTTTGCTTTTGAGTGGAGTCTGTGCTGTGCAACTCCGACCATGCTTTGTTGGAATCAAAGGTTTCTGCATTTTAATTTCTGAGAGTGTTGAATTCAGCAATAAGGTGTAGCACTTGTCAGGTTTGTAGTGCCTCCTGTCTGTGCCTTTCAAACACTCATGGACCAAGCCTCATGTAACCTCGGTGGGGTAGTAAGCATCATCAACCTTTAGATGACAAGAAACAGAGCCGTGGAGTGGAGCTGGTGACTTTTACAGGGTCATGCAGCAAGTCTGGCAAAGCGGAGAGTAGAATTTTGCTTTTATACCGTTCTTGTACTATCAATACAACGCCAACACCGTGAAGTGCTTTGGGACTGTTTGAGGTTAAAGGCATTATTCAGATGCAGGATACCAACAGTCAGATTTCTTGGTGCCCTAACTACAGTGGAGCCTAGTTTAAATAGAAAATCTGCCATGCAGATGTGGCTGCTGTTCCAAGTGTTAGTTAAATGTATTACTGATATCTACTGAATCTGGTACTGTATCTACTGATATCTACTGGATCTAATATTGTGGCAAATATAACTTTTAAATGAAGCCTGGTAGTAGATTAATATTTCTTTTCTCATTTTATTTTTCAGGAATTGTTTGAGCTTCCGGTAAGTGGGACCTTCCCCTTTCTCCTAAGGGAGATGCCTCTTTTTAAGGATATGTATGTATCTAGATGTAACCACCTCTTTTTCCTTGTTGTCTTGGATCAATTCTGCAGACCACTTACGAGATAGGAATCGTGCGCCAGTTTCCTTTTTCTTCCGCTTTGCAGCGCATGTGTGTAATAGCGAGAGTGCTGGGGGAGAAGAAAATGGATGCTTATGTGAAAGGTGCCCCGGAGGTGATTGCCAGCTTGTGTAAGCAAGAAACAGGTAAAGGAGTGAGCTGACTTTGGTCCTTTTTAATGCAGGTCAGAGGTGGTGTGAGAAATCGTAGTAATTCTGGGCTCGATTCTCTCTCTTTAAAGTTCCAGTTGACTTTGAAAGTGTTTTGGAAGAATACACCAAGCAGGGCTTCCGAGTTATTGCTCTTGCTCATCGAAAACTGGAATCAAAATTTACGTGGCACAAAATCCAGAATATTAATAGGTAAGAATGAGTACTTTGTGTTGGGAGCTCTGACATGCCAAAGAAAATGTGTACCTCCGATTCATCCCCAAAACTTCCTTTGTGCTGCCGGGCTTGCCTGAAGGCTACTTGTTCTGCTTTTACCCAAGTTACCTGCTGTCTGCTCACCTGTAGTCCTGTGCACTGTTGTTGGTTACCTGGACAATACACACACAAATCTAAGGCAAATGAGCTTTCCTGTGCTGTGGAACAGTCCTAATCCTGAAGGGCACACCGTAACGATGGTGTGCTGTTGTTCGATTTAGGTTAACATGGCACAGGTCTCGCTTTCCTTCAAGTATATTATTATAGGAAGAAAAGGTGTCATTCACAAGTCGGGGGTCCCAGGGACTTGTGAATGACACCTTTTGGAGGAAAGCCCTCTGAGAACATTTCATTTTGATTCATCATTTGTCAGGCGTTGTATCTTTCCTTCACTTGCTTCCTCTTACATTTTCCCTTCTTATAATAACTGCTTCTGCTGTTGTTTCCCCTTGAGACCCTCCCCCTCTGGGATAGCGTATTGTTCTCCCCCACAGCCTGACATGCAGACATGCAGTGAAGACAGGGAGACCTGATTTTCTCCTGTTACACTAGCTTTACAGTCATGGACTAATGGAGCTACGTTAGTGTGAAGCCAGTGTAAGAGAGGGCAGTAGCAGGCCTCAGATTGTGGAAGAATTGGCAGTTGCAGCTGCTTTCAGGACATGCAGATGCTGACACCTTTTTGCAAACTTCCATGTTGTTAAAAAGGCAGAAGAAATTACTGGAAGTAAGAGGGACAGTGGGTGTTAAGAAGCGTCCTCTGCTTTGAGAACATCATCTATTACCTGCACCGTTTACCTGTAATTATTTTCCCGGGTAGCTTGCACAGTAATCAAAGCTGTCACTTCTTAACAGAGCTAAAATGGTCTCTAATGTTAGTGGATTTCAACTGCTAGAAGTGTTGAGAACAAAATTTAGTTTCGGAAATATTTTTAAAGAAATTAGACAACAATATTTAAAACAAACAAAACCTATGCTCTTTTGTGCTTAGTTTTTTTTTAGGAGCTAATTAAAATATAGCAGTCTCTCTCCATCCCTTGTGAGTCTGAACCTTATTACTATTTTCTTGTCATTAAAAGTAAAATCTTTCACATTGCCCTGTTGATTAAAATACAAGCGAAGGTTTAAAAGCATAGTCTACATTGAGTAGCACTTAGTTTTCTGAAAGTGTTTTTCTCTTTGCTGCAGAGATGCCATTGAAAGCAACATGGGTTTTTTGGGCTTAATTATAATGCAAAACAAGCTAAAGCAAGAAACGCCTGCAGTGCTTAAGGACTTGCATAAAGCCAGCATTCGCACAGTCATGGTTACAGGTAAGAGCATGGCTACTCTAATACTTGGGGAGCAGCTAATTGCATTGTGAGAAGGTACACAGAGCTTTGACTATTTTGGTCTCTGTGGGATTCATTATTTTAGTATCGGTGACTGTCCCATGTCTGAAGACGAGCCAGGTCCAAGTGCACTCACTGGTGCCCAGTGAGTGCCCACACCAGGGCAAGAATATTTCTGTGGGTGTGATTTGGGGGGAGGAAGCATGGTCCAGAGGGAACGCACGGGACGGACTCTGTGGCAGAGCCTGGACAATGCGTGTCTGGGGCAAGTCATTTACCATCTCTGTGCCTCAGTTTCCCTGTGAGCAGAGAGCACACCGTGTGAAACTTGGTTCAGCAAAGAACAGTTGAGATCCTTGGGAGACAGATGCAGTGGAAATGCACGTTAGCATGGTGTGGACTACAGTTTGGAAAATTATATGACCATGCATTAGTTCGGCTTAATTTCCTGTTGGACGTGGTCCTTCTATCCATGTAGAAAGTTGTCACCAGCTTGGACTTTGCCCATTCGGATGTTGTGACTTGTGTGAGTTAGGGATGCGCCCAGGCCGAGAGGAGAATTCCCCCTCAGCCTCCCACAAAGAAGAACGCCAAGGAGGGCTGGTTGGGACAAAGCTTTTGTTCAGCAGCTGGCGCGATTGCAGCATCGTGCTCAGCACGGCAGGCTTGTCAGTCGCCGCAGGACTTAAGCAATGGTTTTGTCACTTTTGTTGCCGTGTCCCTCTGAAAACCCCTCCTTGCTCTCTTTTCTTCAGGTAGAGTGAAAGGCAGGCATGTCCCTTTGTCTTCACCTTTCTCCGCAAATATTTCCATGTGTGGCTTTTACGTTTTG